TGCTCAGCGACACACAGCAGTGTTGTGAGTTCACATAGACACAACCAAACCTCTCCTGGGCTCACATGAAGCCGTTGTCAGTGTCAAGAGTGATGCTTCTGGCTTATTCTTGTGTATTGAATCCCCTAAAGAGCCTTTTCGAGGTGGAGGTGGTGCGTTGGAGCTGGGCTCCAGCTGCCTTCTTCACCCTGCTCTGGATCACTACCACCGCCATCGAGGCTTCCCTGGGCAGCCTGTGCCCTCTAGCGGCCTGCAGGGCCCCAGCAGCATCCAGGCTGTGAACACAACCCCTTGGGATGCTCCAGAGCACTGCCAGCGTATTCATACACCTCTCTCTACTGCTTTCCTGCTCAGACCTTGCAGGCAGTGTGTGGTTATGCCTGTCTGGGGCTAGGCGAATGGCCACCATGGTGTGCAGTGGTCAGGGGAGCAATTCCACAGGGTGGTTTTGGGGAGCAAATGCAATTTGGCTTTATAGCTCACAAGCAGCAAGTGAAATAAGGTCAATTCCAACTCTGTGTTTTGTGGAGATCCCAAACTGTTGTTTAACATCCCCCTTTTCTCATCTCTCTTTCAGTTCTCTCAGCATCCAGTGACAAAAGGCTGTACATGGGGGAGATCCAGTGAAGCCAACAAGGAGATGGGATCCATGATCCTTGGTTTACAGAGGTGGGATTGACTTTGCCTCTTGCTGATGCCAGACCCCCTCACACTGATGGCACTGGGAAAACGTTGAAGCAGCTCAATGTGACAAACTGCCCTCCTCAGGCTGTAATGTCACTGTACAGCTTCCTTCCAACCTCCCTCCTGTGGGGAGGAAGGAAAAGTAAGGATTGAAAGGAATTTGGTTTTGGCTGTACCACAGATGATAAAACCCTTCCCCAGATCACTTGAAATTGGTAAAAGTTGTTCAAGGTCCACATGTGGTTTGTATATTCCTTGTGCATTTCTCTTGGGTTTTTTATACAGTGAAAACTGAAATAGATGGCTTTTTACAAGAACTCTGTGTGTGGGACTTGTTCTGGTTTACTCTTCAATGTCCAACACTAAATCAAGCAGGGAAACCACGGATGTTAACTCCATAGAAGCACAGCGTGATTCGGATTGGAAGGGACCCTCACAGGGAAGAGCTTCTGCCTAAGAGCTCAGCTCAGTCTCCCCTCGGGCAGGTTCAAGCCATTCCCCTTGGCCTGTCCCTACAGGCCCTTGTCCCAAGCCCCTCTCCAGGTTTCCTGCAGCCCCTTTAGGCACTGGAGCTGCTCTAAGGTCTCCCCTTCAGGAGCCTTCTCTTCTCCAGGCTGCCCCAGCCCAGCTCTCTCAGCCTGGCTCCAGAGCAGAGCTGTTCCAGCCCTGCAGCATCTCCATGGCCTCCTCTGGCCTCACTCCAACAGCTCCAGGTCCCTCTTGTGCTGCTGCCCCAGAGCTGGATCAGGGCTGCAGGGGGGGTCTCCCCAGAGCACAGCAGAGGGGCAGGATCCCCTCCCTCACGCTCTGGGGGTGCAGCCCAGCACAAATACATGCATACACAAGCACACACATACATGCATGTATCCATGCACACTCCCGTGCATGTGCCCATGCATACATGTACCCATGTGTACCCCCATGTACTCACAGCCCCCCAGACTGTCAGGGCCAGCACCAGGCCTTGGGGTCAGGGTGATGCTCTGTACCAGGTAGCACAGCTCTGGGGGATTTGGGGCTGCTTTTCCCACCAGTTCCCAGTCCCAAGGTTCCCAGTCCCTGCCTTGGGCCCCTCTTGGCTCCCATCCCACACCGGAGCCATGCCAGCTCCAGGACATCACAGCAGCAAAGTATTCAAGGCATAATCCAAGCACAGAGCCAGTTGTTTTCTTAAACAGGTTCATTCCTCCAAGGGAGGTCTTTGCTTGAGAGATTTCCACTGTAAATTGAATCCTTCCTGGGATCCAGAGAAACGGCCTCAGTGCGATAGAGCTGCTCTGAGCTTTCCTGCCTGCTGCTTCCCATGGGGAATGGAGAGCTGGCAGGGACCCGCTGCATCCCCATCCCCATCCTTGACCCTTCAGCATCATGAGGAGACAGGGCTGGATGGGGATGTTGTACCCAGAGTGGGCTGATCCTGTGCTGGGTGTTGGGCACAACAGGGACATCACTGGGAGGTCCTGGCTCAGCCAAGGGCACCCCTGGCCCTGCCACCCCCTTTCATTACCTCCCTGTCCTTCCTCCAGTCCTTGCCCCCCCGCTGCTCAGAGACTCCTAATGAATTATGATACAATAAGCAAGCGATAACTTCTAAGAGGATAGAAAACAATTATTTGCTCTGCTGGGAAATAGAGGATACTTTAGTGTCTATTTAATAGGAAACTAATTAAATTACATGAACAAGTGAATAGAAGTTTTTGGTTAATTATGAATTTTGTGAGCTACAAAGGCTCAGTGCTGATGGGCTCTGCAATGTGCCAGGCTGCTCGCGAGACACCCAGATAAGACGACAACGGAGGGAGAATGGTGTGAATGCATTTTAATTTCTCCATCAATTCAACATGGGCCAGAGGAACAGGGATTCATTAACAGCAATCCAAGGAATTTGCAGCCTGGGGGCTCATGAGGTTAAAATCGGGGAGGAATCGGTTAAATAGAGGGGTCTTTGCTGCTTTGCTCCATTGTGATCCTTCTCCTGGGGCTGGGAGCTGGAGGATGCCCCCCATGGGGTGACACGAGGGGTCCCATGGGCTCGGTGTTGCTGTGTGTTGGGGCTGGTCCAGGTGAGGTGAGGAGGAGGAGGATGGAGTCAGGGTGAAGGCCAGCAGCAGAGGTGATGGGTGAGGGCAGATGATGGCTGCGCTGGCAGGAGCCTGATGCCCAGGTTTGGGGTCCCCATCACTAATCTCCATCTAAACCTGCCCTGGTGCAGCTTGAGGCCGTTTCCTCTTGTCCCATCCCTTGTCCCTTGGGAGCAGAGCCCAGCCCCTCTGGCTCCATCCTCCTGTCAGGCAGTTGTAGGGAGCAGTAAGGGTCATTGAGGTGCTTTCTTGCAATAGAAAAAGGAACAAAAGCCAAAGGTGGGTGCATTTCCCACCCACAACATAGATGAAGTCCTCTCCTCGCCTTCTAGGGAAGCACTTGACACGTTCTATTGACCTTTTCTCATCTCCAATTGATTCCTCAGGAAGCTCCACCTGCTCGGGAGCCATTGGATTGGGTTTTGTGGGTTTACATCAGGGCTTTTTGCCTTTTCCTGGCATTTTTAGGAGCCAGCCATGCAAGCTGAGCTGAGCAGATTTGGCCGTTGCCAAGGAGATGCTGTGGGGTGCTTGGGCCTTGTTTTGACCCATGGGGTGAAACCAGGCCCTTTGCTTTGGGTTTCTGCTGTGCTTAAATCCCAGAGGAACCCACAAGCTCAATGCTGGGCCCTTATGCATCCAGATAACCTGCAGGAGCACAGGACACCTCATGGGGTGAGGATGATGGGATCTCACTCAGGCTCTCGGTGAGGGTCTGGGGATAGGGTAGAAGGCCCCTGTGTGTCAAACAGTGATGGTTCAGCCTGGGTGCAACCACCTCTGCAGGCCCCTTGCTTCAGAGCATCACTTGGTGACCCCCCTGCATGTTTCTTGCATACATGGAGGCCACATACAGGGAGGGAGGGAAATTCCTACTATGGAGGATGAAGGAAAAGCTCCCAGTCCCAGCAGCCCATGGGGATGGGATGGGCCCTTGGAAGTTTAGATTGGATATAAGGAGGAAATTCTTTCCTGCGAGGGTGCTGAGGCACTGGAATGGGTTGCCCAGGGAGGTTGTGAATGCTCCATCCCTGGCAGTGTTCAAGGCCAGGTTGGACGAGGCCTTGGGTGACCTGGTTTAGTGTGAGGTGTCCCTGCCCATGGCAGGGGGTTGGAACTGGGTGATCTTAAGGTCCTTTCCAACCCAAACTATTCTATGATTCTGATGTACCTGTAAGGTTTGCAGCCCCTCGGATCCAGTGCAGAGCAGCTCTGACACCTAGCAGCGCATGGGGCTGGTTTAGGAGATGCTTCCTTATACAAACCAGAGCTGAGGATTAAGAAATCATGGAAGGGAAAAGCAGCAAAGTGTTCCGGAGTCCTTGTGCCGGTGGCATTTCAGCAGGAGGTTCCTAAAGCAGCATCCCAGCTGTTCCTTGGAGGATGTGCGCTCTCCCATCCCCTTGAAGCTGCGCTGTGAAAGCAGAACAAAGGCGAGCAGGGTGGGTGGTGTTTTGGGGCCGGACCCTGTCAGCTCTGCTGGGTTTAAGCCCTTCACGACCACAGCCCAGGGGGATGATGCCCCTTGGATGCTCCCAGCCCTGGAGCCGCGGGTGCCGGTGCTCTGCAGGGGGAAGATGCTCGGGGGCTTCCCCTCCCTTCGAGCCCCGCTGCTGCCCCGGCACCACCACCTTAAAGGAGGCGGCTGCGGGGTCCCCGTGCTGCGGGTCCAGGCACCGCCCAAGGGCCGCAGGGCCGAGGGAAAGGGGAGGGCAGCAGCTCAGCATCGCCTGGGTTTAACCCATCCCCACCTGGGAAGTAAGAGAATAGAAATCTGCCGTTAAAAAGGCCAGCAGCCCCTTTGCATTCGCATCGCCGGGGTTTAACCCATCCCCACCTGGGACATAATAGCATAGAAATCTGCCGTTAAAAAGGCCAATATCGGGCTAAGGGGAGGCGAGCGCTACCGCGAGCGAACGCTCCGCGCCTCCCGGCGCCCCCGGAAGCCGCTAAGGGCTCGTCGCGGACGCAGCGTGCCCGGCCTGGCCTCCGCCCCTCCCGGCCGCTCCTCCCGCCGGGCCCCGCTGGGGAGCGCGTCTGGCGTTGTTCCGGCGGCCGCGTCCCGCCCTGCCCGGCGCGCCCCCGACCCCACCCCGCCGCCACCTCCTCCCCGCCCGCCCCCGGGGCTGTGCGGGAGAGACAATAGAGCTGCGGGCTGCGGGGATGGGCGGCGAGGGCTGCGCGGCCCCGGGGGCTCTGCGCTAAGGGATGGGGCTGTAACGGGCTCCGGGGCGGGGGGGGGGGGGAAGGCGGAGAATGGGGGGCGATGCCCCTTTCTGAGCCCATCCCGGCTCCGCGCTGCCCTGGCAGGGTGCGGGAGATGGCGGGGCTGCTGTGAAGGAAGTGTCGGGGCTGGCCGGGGGCTGCGGAGCGGGACATGGTGCTGGTGCCCCGCTGATGCTCTGCCGGTGAGGAGCCGGAGGACGGCGACGCGAGGCCACGGTGGGGGAAAATCCGCGGCTCCGGCTGGGAAACCATGGGGAGATGCAATGGGAGATGCACGCTGGTCGGATTCTGCTGCCTGCAGCTGGTAAGGCGAGGGGCCGCCCGCGCTCATCAGCATGCCGGGTCGTGCTTTGTGCGAACGCTGCTGTCACCGCTACCCGCGCCGTGTCGGCGGTGACCTTGCTATGGGACCGGCTTGGGGATGCTTCACTGACACCCAAACCCCCCCCTATACCCCAAGGAGATTTACTCCTCAATGAGGAATGAGATGCCCCCCCCATCCCCTGCCTCAATCCAGCGCTGGCTCGGGAGATGGATGGGAGCCGGGTCCCTGCGCTGTCAGCGCCTGGGGGATGCGTCTCCATCAGGTGTGAGCTTTGTTTCCACCTGCATCCTCTTCCCTCCCGGTTCGCTCCCGCCGGCGCTTTCCCATCCTGGTCACTCCAAGGATGTTCCTTGGGGTGCTGCTCCCCCGAGCTGGGGCAAGAGGGAAACTTGGAGCCACTGCCAGCACTTTGGAAACTCTCCTGCTTCCAAGTGGGACCCGTCTGCCCATAGCAGGGGGGATGCTGGGATGGTGGGAGCAGAGGGAAAGGAAGGGTTTAATGGGATTGTTTCCCTTCAGAAGGATTGGGTGCTGCCTGGGGGTCAGTCCTCATCAGGCAATGGGAGCGCATGAGGTGTTTGGGGGGGTTTTCCACCAAACCCAGGTTGTGATGGATTATCCCAACTGGGTGGATCAGTAACAGAGCATCAGCTCCCTACAACTTGCCCCATGGCCATGCTGGGGCTCATTGTGGTGAGGAAGGGGACTGTGGAAACGCGTGGTGGTCAGCCCTGCTGTCGCCAGGGATCGGGGGTGACGGGGTGGATGGAGGCGGTGATGGAAAGCCTCCGGATGCGCTCCAGGGATGACGGTGTTATCCTGCTGACCCACGCTTTCTTCCCGGCATTGCTCTCCTTCATCCTCCATTCTTTGGAAGGCAGCGAGCGGGAGGGTCCCCACTGTTGGATGGGGGGCACTGGGCTTTCCTGGCGGGATGCAGGAATGCTCCAAGCCAGCCCTGAACCGCAGGCTGAAGTCCTGCCATTCCCAGTGGGAACGGCCTCTTGTGTCCCCAGTCCTCCCCTTGGTTCAATCTGTAAACCCTTTGCGCTTTGCTCGCCTTCCCCCTTAGGATAAACCTGATGCTGTTTTCCAGGCGTGCAGGAGTTTTCTGGCTCTCGATCACTTGTTGGTGTTTATTCCCTGACATAACCCAGATCCAGCGGATTTTAACCTATTTATTGTAGGGGAAGAACGGAACCAAGTTGGGAGAGCAGCTCCTGCTTGCACCCACAGGAACTTGGTGCTGCAGATGGCGGTCAGGCTTTGCTCTCCACCTCTTGCCCCATGTGTCCTGGTGCCGCCAGCATTCCCAAAGCTTGGCTCCATAAATGCCCCTCACCAGTGGCTCTTCCACCTCAGGCTCACCCCATCCTACAGCTCATCCCCTCTCAGCCTGTGGGATGCTCTCCCAGCTCTGGAGGCAGCAGCTTGCATCCCGCTGGCCATGGGGAGATGCTCTCTGCCCTCAGCACCCCATTCCATGGTGGTCCATGAGGAAAAGGTACCACTGGGTGCCCTGCCCGGGATGGGGGGGTCAGCCCTGGGCTGAGGCATCAGGGTCCCCTTGGGTACCAAGGCCAATATTCATCCCCGAGGTGGCATGGTCGGGGTGTGCAGCCCAGGCTGTGCTGAGGGCTGGGAGGGGATGATGGGGAGCAGGGATGATGCCTGACCCCAGCTCTCTGTGCTGTAGGGGGGATGGCTGCCATGCTCCCAGTGCTCCCAGTGCCTGGGGTTGGACTGGTGTGTGCTGGGGGTGCCCCATTGCTGCAGGGTCACCTTGTGCCAACAAGCCAGCATGCTGGTTGCCAGACCTCCTCAGCCTCAGCTTCCCTTAAGCAAAGCAGTGTGGGTGAGGAGCGGGCTGCCCTGGGTGACACCATCACCTCTGGCTGGTCCTCACTGCTGGGCCCCCTTCCTGCAGGCACCTTCCCACTGCTCCCCATGTGCCACCATGGAACCATTGGTTTCCCCAGTGTTTGCAACCTGGGGATGCGCCCCTGGTCCCTTGTGTCCCCATGAGGGATGCTCATGGTGACAGAGGATGCTGCTGGTACCCACTCCCAGCAGTGGGAGAAGGCAGGTCTGGAGGGGCAGGACACTGCAGGCAGAGCCCAGCACAGCCCCTGGGGCAGTGATTGTGCCTGAACCAGGTTTGGGAAACCGGTGTTTGGGCCATGGCAGCTCTGGAGCATCCAAATATCCCATGTGCTCCTTGAGCACTCAGTGAGGCGATGCTGCACGCCGGGATCACCATTCCCAAGGGACTGGATTTTGCCTCTGGTTTTCCTTTGGGAAACACCCAGGGATGCACTTGCCAGATGCCTCCGGCCCTGCCCCACATCAGGAGGAGCTGCTGGGAAGTATTTGTGCAGATGAGGTGGGATGAAATAAAAACTCTCAGGTTTCTGCTGGTCCTTCCCATCATTTGGGAAAGCCTGGGGGGTTCCGGGGGCTTTGGGATCCTTTCTCTGGGATGGATGCTGTTGGGAGGATTTATCTTTACATGAAGAGCTGCTGAGGTGGTTGTATGGGAAATGGACCTGGTGGTGATAGCACCCCACTACTGCAAGCATGGACATGGAGCCACAAGCCATGACTTGTTAACGCTGAAGCCTAATGGTGTTGGCTGCAGATCAGGACAGTTGTGCTGCTGCAGAGGGTTGTACCCAACCTTGTGGGCAGTGATACGGGATTCCAGGATGTGGGATGCTGGACACTGAGGTCTGGCTGGATCCAGACATCCCGCTCTGTACCCTGGGGCCATGCTCAGGAGCTGGTTCTTGCTCAAGTGGGCTCCTCCATCCCACGGTGGTGACCCCATCACAGCACAGGGCTCACTGCGGGGGGGATGCAGCTCAGCTTTGCTCCGAACCAGGGCTCCTTTTCCTTCTTTGTTTCTCTCCTTCTCCTTTAATTGGCTGGAAAAGCAAAGCTCCATTGGCACCTCCTGCCTGGCTGAGCCTGCCGGGGTGGCAGCGTGCGGTGCTGTGCCGTGCCATGCTGTAACACACTGGCACTGGCATCCTTCCCCCCACAGCCTCCCAGGGTTGAGGTGCAGGGTGAGGAGCCATCCCTCCTTGATCCATGGGCTTCACACAGGGCACTGAGAGCCTTTGGGATGTGAATTCCCCCCCATCACCAAGCCTGGAGAAGGAGCTAACAGGGTCGGCCTAAGGAAGGATGTGCAAAGTCCATCCCTGTATCCCCGAAGCACCCATCAGCCCAGTGTGACATCCCCATCCCCAGCAGGACCCCACTGCACTGCTTCCTGACCCTGCTGTCCCCATCACCCTGCTTTTGGCCATCAGCACTCCAGCTCTGGCACCTCCAGCATCCACCAGCATCCTTTGTCCTTGCGCGGTTCCCATCGTGCCCCATTCCCGGCACAGGGATGACCTGAGGATAGCGGGGCTGGAGCTGCCCCTGACCCCATTCCCACTGCCGGGAAAGGGGAACAGAGCCCGGGATGAACTGTGCATGGGGGTTTTCAATTACACAATTAAATGCACAATTAGGTGTAATTACCAGCACTCAGAAGGTGCGACTGTTCATAATAGGCATGTAATCTGCTGCAGTCACTGTTTATACTGCTCTGCTCCCTAATGATTATGGAAAGCTTTCACATTTGCATGGTTGCCATGGCAATGGGGGGCTGGCAGTGGCATAGGGATGGTGAGACCCTCGTATCCCTGCACCCCATCCCATGGGATGGGACACAATGAGTGTGGTGATGCCTCCGTGCCCAGAGATGCTGCGGGGTGGTGGGTGCTGGTGGAGGGATAGGGATGCGCCAGGGATGGGCAGTGCTGAGGACCTGGAGATGGCTCCAAGGTGGGAACTGTGTGCATTGGAGGCATGAAAACCCCCACCCCACCTCAGCCCCAGTGTGGGTGAACAACCCAAGAAGGGACCATGGGTTCGGGTGGCTGTGGAGCAGCACCAGTGCCTAAAGGGGCTGCAGGAAACCTGGAGAGGGGCTTGGGACAAGGGCCTGTAGGGACAGGCCAAGGGGAATGGCTTGAACCTGCCCGAGGGGAGACTGAGCTGAGCTCTTAGGCAGAAGCTCTTCCCTGTGAGGGTGCTGAGGCGCTGGCACAGGGTGCCCAGAGAAGCTGTGGCTGCCCCATCCCTGGCAGTGCTCAAGGCCAGGTTGGACACAGGGGCTTGGAGCAAGCTGCTCCAGTGGAAGGGGTCCCTGCCATGGCAGGGGTTGGGACTGGATGAGCTTTAAGGTCCCTTCCAACTCAACCCAGTCTGGGATCCTTTTATTCCATCCCAGTGGACGCGCATCCTCGTTGCAGCCGCATTATCCCCAGGCAGAGCTATAAAGGTTTATGGGCACGTTTGGGAAGCGGGAACGTTCCCGCTCGCAATTAAAACCGCGATTAAAGCGCAGTGTGTCTACATTTACAAGACCAGCAAACGTGCACCCGAGAGCATTAACACGAGTGGCTGAAGGACTCCTTAAATCATTCCTGATGGAGCTGGGAGCAATGGGCACTGCAAAATGAATGTCTCGGTGATGAGCATGGCCTGACGGTGAAGCCATGAGAGCACGGCAAGGGATGGGTGGTGCATGATGTGATCAGCAAAGCCTAAAAGTAGGTGGCCCTAATTGATGGCTGGGAAAAAGAGCCTCATCCAGCCAAACTTGATGCTGTTTCTTATTGAGCTTACTCGTTTGGCTGCTGAAAGGGCCTGAGCTGCCATAATAGTGTTTGGATGCTGGTAAGCAATTTGATGTGATCCCAGGTGGCTTTCTGTTAGGAGAAGAATTAGCACTATAAAAAATCAATGATGCTCGTTTCGGTAATGGGAAGAAAGAAGAGGAGGAATAAAACCAGCACTGGAGGAAACGTGTGGATTGAAGGGGGTGCAGTGAGCATCACTCCTGGGACCACATCCCTGCCAGCTGGGTGTCCCACCCCAAAACACATCCACAGGACATCAGGAGGGGATTGGGAAAGGAGAGC